AATAAATATAAAAAATATAGAGAGACATAAAAAGTTTTTAGAGTTGGAACCTAAATGTATTGGCAGACAACCCTTCACAATAGGCGTCTCTTTTAAATATAAAAGTAGAAAGACATCTTAACTGTTGATGCCTTTTAAAAATTACGTTACAGGAAGTTACAATTTTTTTCACAAGGTATATAATTAAAGTTGATTTTTTAATAAAGAAATCTAGAATCTAGAGTGTAACATCGATTTAAATTAAAATTTAAAAATTGTTTAAAAGAAGAACTCTTTTGAAAAAAATAAATAAATAAGAAGAAGAAAAAAAAACAGTGTGTAAAAAGAAAACGTCGCTTATAACATTTTTGTGAATTAAAGAAATTATTTTAAAATGTATATAAAAAATCAAAATTGAATACACTTTTATAGAGTATATAGATATATAATGAAAATTTATTACAAATTGTAAAGTTTAAAAAAATAAATGTATATAATATATATATATATATATATATATAGAATAAGTATCTTTAATTTAATTTTTTACTTATATATTTAATGAAAAATGAAAACTATATTTAATTGAGAATAATTTTATTTTATTTTTTATAATTATAAAAAGAACTGAGGTTTTCATTCCATGTGATATACAATTGTAAGAACAAATAAATTTTTTTTTAAGATATATATTTATATATTTGACTAGTAAAAGGAATACATATATATATATTAAAACTTTTTAACTTATAAGTGATATTAAGTCCTACGAAACGTATCAGAGAGAGATAATACATTGTTAGGAAAAATATATAGAGATAAATTTTTTATTATTATTTTTGAAAAGGTGAGAGAGAATTTTTAAAAATTGGTTAAGTGTGCACATAACACCCCTATACTATGATATTATTTGCGCGCACACCCCTTAAGCATTTTTGAAAACGTAAAAGGGCAAAACGGACATTATAACATTACTTTATGTCAGATTTTTGTTTGAGAAGTGTTTTCGCACAATGTTAAAAGAATAAGGGGGTTATTAACATATTTTTTAAATAAGGAGTAAAAGTGCGGCTAAGCGGAGTATACATTAGGATTGTTTTCTACACTTCACCCAAGAAAATCTTGTATTACCCAAAAAAAAAAAAAAAATTATTGTATGGACCAATTTATGAACTGTTTGAGAGAATCAATGACAATGCTTGCACATACCTGTGATTGATTGTAAAAAAATCACATAAAACTTAATTTTTTTCTCTATCTTACTTTTATTACGTATTAAATTTGCTACTAACCCAATTAAAGAAAGTCCAGAAAGAAAACAGTGAAAATGAGAAGTCCATGTGACAGACGTAAAGACATTTTTGTAAGTACGTATGCATATGAACTCATAATAATCGTATCATACAGTTTATTTTCTTTCCTTTTTGAGATATTATATACCAGCAGTGGGAATATCAGATACCATGCCTTACATTTTCTTTTATTTCCTTTTTTTTATTTTTTATTTTTTAATTTTAGTTTCCTCGTCAGATATTAGTTCGAGCATCAGATTTTCGTATAGTTGGGACAAAGCCATAAAGCCATCTATAGACATGCACGTATGTGCGTGTGTACCAGTATATGAAAATTGAAGTCTCAAGATTCTGTGTGTTCTAGTGCTCGTTAAAATTTCATATACTCTTTTCTTTTTCTAATAGTGCATTATTCTTTATCAACTTTAGTAAAGTTTTTTACACTTTTCATGTGAGATTTACTTTTTCATTTTTTATTATTTATTAAATGATTGTGGTGTCGAATTTATTAAAATATATTTTATAATTTATTCCTTCTTTGTATATATATACTAGGGTTAATTTTACTCACACTCCCTTAGATTTGGCCATTTTTCACTCTCAAACATCTTTCGAAAACAACTATCACCTATGTACATTTCTATATTTTCATTAAATGCATGGGAAAATATATCTTTACCCTTAATTTTTTAATCCCATTTATTTTAAAATATCAAATGACCTAAATGACCATTATACCCCTACACCCACCTACCACCACTATCCACATCCGTCACTATCACCATCGCCGCCCGAGATTTCGAAACCCCGCCAATCTCATGATCAGTCACACAAGCAAAACTGTAATCGTCGCATGAACCATCGTGGGTTGAATAAAACTGAGAGTAACAGGAACCCTCTTCGGCGTCGGAAAAACAGATGCTTTCGTCTTCGCTACTAGCTCCGTCGCTCACTTGCGTAGGAGCGGTGATGGTCGCCACACTCTAGATCGATGTGAGACGTCTCTGCACCCGCCATTTCAGAACCCAAGAACTAAAAACATTCAATTCAAAGCAAGTAACGAACGAAAAATTATTAGATGGTTCTGGTTTATTTGACACTTAGTGGACTAATTCAATGAAGACCCTCCGATCAAGAAACTTTGTAGTTTATTAATACACTCTTGTGGAGTCATTTTTTCAATCCAAGAATATATATTTAATTGGTACATCAAATGTTAATGGACCAAGACCATCTAATAATTTCTCGTAAAGAGCAGGATATAATCTCAATTTGTTGAGCAAACATGTATATATATAGATTAAGTAAAGAGGATTTAAATGGGTGAGTACTGAGTTGTGGATTCGGTGAACCTTTAACTCCACTTTTATGTCATTTAACAAAGATTTAAGAGGAAAAAGAAAAAGTGGGTATAGAAAATAGAGAGAGATAAGAAAATGTGGAAGTTATATATATAATTTGTAAATTTACAAAACTATTAGGGATATTTTAGTCTTTTAATATAAATTTTAAGTTAAAATGTTTTTTCCACAAAATCAAAAAGCATTTAAGTCATTTTATATCGTGGCATAACTATTCAACTAACAATTGAAGTGTGAGTGAAAAAATTGAACAAAAGTTTGTAATGTGGGTGATAATTATTTTTAAAAAATGTTTGGGGATGAAAAAGGGTCAAACCTGAAAGGGTATGAGTGAAATTAACCCTATATACTACTACAATCTACTTGATATGATCACTATTTTTCCTATATCCCATTTGCTATTTTTGAAATTTATAACACGCATCTTTTATAAACATTTACTTTTTCTATATATTCTTTACCTCTAATTTTGACAAACCAAATAAATAAATAAATAAATAAAAATAAAAAAACTCCAATTTTTAGCTTTGACTAAAAGCCATGCGGAAACTAAAAGTCTCTTCATTTAAAAAACACAAATTTAAAAAAAAAAAAAATTATCATAAACATGTGAAACAGAATTTTCAAATAAAGAGGGTTTTTTTAGTCACACTAGAAATCAAGTTTCCATTACGTGACTTATTTAACTTGTAACTTGTTCCAATAGGAGCAGGCTCCAGCCAGTTAGATTAAAGTAACAGCCCTAAGTGGACTGGTGCTTGTTTAATTAATGTTAAAAAAATTAGATAAAAGGGGAAGGAGAGAAGGGAAGATAAAATTTTAATTTATTTTTATCATTATATTCATCGCCATCTTTATTATTCATTTGAACCTTTATTATGCTATAAGTTCGGTTAATTTCACTTTAATTTGTTGTATAATCACATTTTATCATGGAAAAAAAAATTGAAGTGATTATTGTAAATTTGAAAATAGATGCGACAAAGTTCTTTCCAAAATTTAATGAAACAAATACTGCAAACCTCTTTCTCCAAACTGTAATCGTAAATGGGAATTCAAAACTCACTCAATTCACAATCCTAATGTGTGGTAGCATCAAATCTTTGGGAATTCCTTGCAGAACCTCACCTAAGAAACATGCGAAAAGTGCATATATGAAGGGAAAAAAAAAAATTTATTGCATAAATCACATATATAATCATTTTGATCCACACGATGTTAATATACAGTTTCTAAGCCCACATACGTAAAAATTGAGAGTGACTCCACCACCAACTAAACAACCCTCATTTTTAAAGGGGTTGCCGCAACATTATGAGGGTGGAATATCTTTGGTTTTGTGATGCAAGAAAAAAAGAATATTACTATATACATCTTTTATGTTGATGTTTATTTTATTTTGTTATGGTTATGAATTATTAGTACACTTTGATGGCACAGCTTAATTAATCTATGTATATATTTATATTTGCTTAATTAATTGAAATATATAGTCTGGCTTTGGCTCAATAATTATATGATTATCTTAAAAAGAAGATAAAGTGTAAAGAATTGGGAGCACTAGTCAATATTTCCTTGCAAATCACTCCCCGCTGACGTAGAGTCAGTGAAGTCAATTAATGGGTACTCCAATGAATGAGATTTCTACTCCATCTAGGCACATCTTCTTTAAAGGAAACCCAGTTGCTCTTTTTTTCCTTTTTACCGTCAAAACTCTGATTAATAACTTAATTGTGCATGATTGGCAATACACATACACATACACATAGTAGTGTTTAACTGCTTCCCCATGAACAAGCTAGAAACAATATACTCACTATTAATTGTATTTACACCATTGGGCTCAACCGGTTTTCTGGGCGCTTTTTATATGATATATACTATGTAGTACTATATCATAATATTTAAACATAGAGCATCATAATATTGCTGCAGCAGCATCACTTTCTCTATTATCAAAATTTATCATCATTGGAACCATCAAAGAGACTATGCAAAATAAAATAATTAAAAAGAATAATAATAATGGAAGGTGTGAAGGGAAGTAATTAAAATTTAATGAGAAAAGAGACCGCAATATCTTCCTCACACAAAATAAAAGTGTCTAACAAAAGCTAAAGGGAATCCCTTTTTTATTCAAAGGATATCCCATCATATCTTTCTATATATTGAATTCTCAACCACGAATTCCTAACATCCTATCTTATGAATGTTTAAATTAAACACTCCAACTTTGTTGTTCCCAACGAGGTTATTTGAGAGATACCCACCAGAATACAAGCAATCATACAACTTAAAAGGCATGCAAAGAACTTAAAAGGCATGTTATATTGTTGGCTTGTTATATAAAAATTGGCATCTTCATTCATAAGAAAGAGGCCTCCATAATAATAACCAAAAAAATTAAAATCAGACAATCAATAATCTTCTAAATAAAAATAAATTCAACGCAAACAATTCAAGCTAGTCATGACACTACACTTTTTTATCATTGAAGAAAATGAAAAGATTTTCCCACTATGCGGAAGGGTGAGGACTGAGGAAGGTTCGTTCACCAGCATCGTTTTCAAATATTTTTACCCTCTTATATGAAATGATTTTGTCTACCACAATACTTTGAATCTACTCTTCTTTTGGGCCTCTTGACTTTATTCCTTCCTACTCATAACAACCAAAAAAAATGATTGAAGAATTGTAAGGCAAATACACACCCGCGTGTAGGATGGCAACGGGGTGTATTACAGTATGCAATTCTATATGTGTGTTAAGTCCTAACCCAATAAGGAAGGAAGGATACATTCTATTCCATTCCATTCTATTAGAAAAGCCAGAATGAAAAATAAAAATAAAAATAAAAATAAAACAGATTAAGAAATAAAGTAAACAGAATAAGCTGTGTGTGTGTGTGTGTGTGTGGAAGGAACTAATTAAATTAAACAAGAATAAGAAAGAAGTAATATTTAATAAGCAGTGAAACACTTAAACCAAACATCAGAAGACAAAATGTGGTGAGAATGAATCAAAAAACACAAACTTTCAGTTTAACAATCTCCCAATTGTGTTATCTCCCAGTCAGGCACGGATCTGTGAAGGGCTTACACCCTTAAATTTATACTTTTTTGCATTTATACCCATAAATTTGAAATTGCCCCCTCTAAAATTATGAAAAAACCCTCTATATAAATTCCCCCCCCCCCCCCCCCCCATATGAATTCCTAGATCCGTCCCTGCTCCCACTTAATGCTGATTAAAAATATACGTAGTAATATATTTAATAAGCCTAATATCCAATACATAGACAATTATATATTGTGATATAAAACAATTAGAAGGGTGCAGTGAGTATGGATCAAACTCACTGAGTTATTCTTGCTGTCAAATTTTATGATCTAATCAGAGGGCATACTGGTTTCAGGACTTTTAACATTCTTTCTGTTCTTCTTACTCTCTGCGTGTATCTTCTATAGGGATAAAGACTGTTAAGCACGAGATATGAATATATTTTTTTCTCCTTTCTTTTCTTTCTACCAGACTCGAAACTTTGACCTAGGGCTGGGGAGTTTAGACCCAAACCCACTACCAACAAAGGTAGACCAGTAAACATGTGAATATATATTTAGCTGTTAAGCAAATGTTGCAACTCTAATCATTAATTAATTTTGCATAATGTCTTAGTATTGCACTAAATAATTAATATTTTTGAACTACCTGGTTTGCACAAATGATTTCTTATTTATAGCCAGTTTGCTCTCCATTTGAAGTAAGAGATATTGGGTAAACTAACAAAACTGAGATGATAAAATCAAAACTCGCACAATACAATCAAAGTAGCGCTATCATCTTACAACAAAAGTGTATGAGTGGGTGTGAATTAAATGAACTCGAGACTATCAGATATTCAGTTCGACGCTCTTCCGAGTTCCGACTGAAGCATCCCACTTGTTTAGCATGACACCATTTCAATACATAGTAACCTAACTTTTAGCCCATATTTTGGAGATGAAAAAAAAGGATTAAGGATAAATAAATAAAACAAAATTTAGATGAATATCCTCTTAAACCATAATGACCAGATATATAGAGAACATGTGCTCTCCATAAACTTGATGTGATTCATTATATTTTATAACTAATTAAAATAGAGAAAAAAGCTAAGATATAATTATTACTCAAACTTAAACTGAAAATAGAATTTTAAGTTATACCATATTTATTATCATTTTTTTTTATTATTATTAACATTTATGTTATTACATATGTTTTCCAAGTTTCATTTCTTAATGTTAAAATCTTCATTTATAGAAGAGTAGTGATTTAGGGGCCAAATTCGGCGGATTCAATTTATGTGAGGGGGGTGGTGGGTCCCATCACATGATGTCATGATGACATCATATAGTGGGGCCCACCACTACACTCATATAAATGGAATTATAGAAATAATATTGCAACTTTACACATAACATATCATAATTTTTGAGCAAGCTTTCTATGAGAGAATGCTCGGCTATAACAGCACAAGGTCAATAGGAGCACTCTCATAGTAGCTTCTTATTATTATTATTATTATTATTTATTATTTTTTTTGGCCTTGTATATATTAGCTACCATTAGTATGAAATATCTCTAAAAAATGCTAATCAACCAAACAGATTGCAGAGGCTAATGATACAAGAGGCCACGACTTGTAGCATTGTGAACGCAATGACTAAGACCCTCCATTCTGATTCCATCACCCACCAACCGATACAATGCCATGCTTAAACATATAAATGATAACAAAATGGAACCTAGCAATATAATCAACATGAGTTAATCTATCGCCAATTGGAACCATGAAGTACCGTAGCATTAATTACATCATCATCATCATCATAATGATAAACAAAACCATTTAACTATTTAGTTTAGCAAGCTGCAACTGAACTGGGTACCTGATAAAGTCAATTTCTCTGCTTTTGTAACCGCATCCAAAGGAAGAGGACTATAACTCCGAGATGGGCCATAGAAATGGGGAAAGACATTTGAACCATCCACAACTTCATATACCAATCCATCCCCAAGCTGCAACAAAATGAATGTTGAAAGGATACTGTAAACCGGTCATGTTGAAATTACAAAATAATCGAGCATGGAAGAAATGATGTCAAATTAATCAATGGTGCAATTGTCTTCACATATTTGGTAGACTCACAATGCCTAGTTTCAGTATTTTAGGTTGTCAAAACATTATAAAGGTCATTCCAACCTTCAGCATAGCTAAAATTATTAATGGTCCCCATGAAACTAACAATGACAATATAATCTTTCTTCCATTTCACAGAACCAAATTGCAAAACACTTTGTTGTGAGTCTCTAAATCAATTGAACTATTCTCAGCAACTGTTCAACTAATGCAACAAAAGATTTGAAACAAACAGAATCTTAATTTATGGAAGGACTGCTTTAGCCTTCCCTCACAAGAACATGGAATGGGCTCCACAGTTCAAAAGGTTGCGTTCAAAGACCTCAGAGAACAGTGGATGCAATGAGAACCGTGGAGGCAGTTGTTAGGTTGTGAAATAACATCTTCCTTAATATGTGGATGTAGAGTAAATGTGATTGACAAATGCAAAAAGTAGCACATAGTTAGCAGGTATCGTGCTCTGGCAACTTTAAAGTCTAACTGCTTCTATAGTTATGTTACTTGATATGTCCCCTAATAATAAGCCCGATGACTTATATGTGTAATAAGTCAATAGATGCATTTAGTTGCAAAAAAAATTCTGTGCAAGCTTCATGCCAATTCTGTCATACTTGAAAAGAAAGCAAAAATATATTGATAAGTTCACAAAGATAGTTATATTATACCTTTTTAGTGTCAACTTGGAGCAGGTATAGGTCCCTCTTAGTGTTCAGAAAGAAGTTCTGCAAAGTTGACTGTACCTGCAAATTAGAAACCCATGTTTATGGTGTTGAGTTGAGATTTTGAAAGAAAAGACCAGTATGGAAATCTACACTGTTAAGAAGATTACTGACCCAGAATGCAAATTGTATATGTCAAATCTTGTTTACAATTTAGAATTTGATCATACTACTTGCCAAGAAATAATCAACTCAATCATGAGAAACCCAAGAAGCAAACTTGCTATTCAAGAAAATTTGTCTTTGAAGAAGAAGAATTCGAGACCATGTTTGTCTGCTTGTGGCTGGAATATTGTACAAGACTTAAAAAGCCTCGCATTATAAGTGGTGATGGATTTGCAACTGAAGAGGTTTGGAGGTGAATAAGCTTATTACTAATTTAACAGTTGAAAATCAAAGAAATGACGAACCAAATACATATAAAATTGATTGGTGAGTTGAATCCTAGCTGGGGACATCAATTCAACAACTTTATTTTGACAACATAAATATCACAAGATGATTACTGGCATTGACTAAGTCACACAATCCTTCTGAACGGATGCCACTCTCACGCTCTGCGTGCAAATTGGCGCTCTGAGAGCAAATCCTTCATCAATTCGCAAATTCAATTGTATCCTTGAATTCAATTTGAGAATCCTCAGATTCATAACGATTTCTCACGTTGCACTTCTTTAAAAATAATAAATATACTTTAATTTTTGTATTTAAAGTATTACTAATATTATGTATATCTAATATGGAAGAAATAAGATTAATATAACTCAAACACATTTCCTTGTGTTAATGAACTTACATTTTTATTATTCCACAATATACTGGAGGCGTTTTCAGTCTAACCAAATTTTATATTTTGCTGTTTCCACACTCGCTCTTGCTACCACTCTATGTGACTTAGGGCATACTATATAAATAAAGAATGTTCTCGTTAGGCTTAGTCCTTACCTCATCTCTATTAGCACTATTTAATAAAAATCAATAACTATGATTAAATAAATAATTATTATTGTTAAATACTATTATTATTTTAATTTAATTCTATAATTATGATACGAAAACATTTACAAAAAATTTATCCTTACATATAGAGACCATCTATCATACTCTGCGAGTCACTCTTGGGTGATATGGGTGTAAGGCTGTGAGTCTTTTCTTAGAAACATCTTTTCTTCCTTGAGAGTAATTTATATATTGAGTTTAGGGCAACCTCAACTCAAGATCGGTACAACTTTGTCTCTCTTTGGGCACGCGGATATGGGTTGTATCTTGGAGCTGTATTAGACCATTAGCATCTGCACATAGGGAGGCCATATGACTTTAGGACAGTGCCTAGCATGCCTCTCATTATCTAGGTCAGTTATTTCCTACTTATTTTACTTTTCTTTTTTCTTTTTTCTTTTTTTTTCTGTTGTTGAGATTCTACATTGAATTCTATGGCTCATAGTTATGTCCATGTTGTTGACATTGATGTTATTCAATATGTTGAAAGAAATTTTATTGTTTTTTTTTTAATGGGCAAGAAACACACATATATTGAAAGAATTGTTAATTCATATTGATGTATCACTCATTATGTATTATTCATTGCGTATCAACAAAATTTGATGTATGGTGTTCTACTGTTGTTAGTATCTTAAAATATTTGTGTTAATTCCCCAACAATCTCATCCTATGTATATATATGCTGATAAATTAAAGGGAAACCAATTTAGGAAAAAAAAAAAAAAAAAATTAGGGGGAAACCGTATCAGGTATGATTTCCTGTCCTGAGCTTCTGAAATCAGTTTAGTGTAACACGAATTACATATACCCAAGGGAAAGGTTGTTGTTTCTGTAATCGAGTATATATTTATTTACACTACTAGCTCCCCTGGTGCGTTTTAATTTGCAACCTAATGGAATATTAATAAAGTAACTTCAAATTGCATGTACAACAAAGACCATTAATAATTAACCCTAAACCCTAAAATCCCAAAGTATAAATATATATAGATGGCTGAGCTAACTGAACGTGAACGTTCTAAGACTTAGAAACTGGGGAGAGAAAAGGAGGAACAATTAACCTGGTGGAGCTTACTAAGATGGATGCAACCAGTGGACTTGTCAAGTTCTCCGCCAAAATTGGTCCCACTTCTCTGCATCGCTTCCCACTCCTCAGCGGTGCTTATTCTGTAAACGAATTCTTCTTCTTCTTCACTTGCATTCACCACCACTCCTTCGCTCCTACCACTGCCACTCATACTTGCCGCTTTCAGTTTGCAGAAGGAAAGATGAACCCACACAAGTGAAATGGATTACATTATGTATGGAGTATGGACTAAACTCGAGTACTCGCACTCAATTTTTTTCTTTTTTTCTTTTTATTTATTTTTTATTTTTTTTAAGTTTTCAAATAAAGGAAGAAAAGTATTAAAAATAATGGCGGTACTTCATCATTGCACTATTAAAAACTAATGAAAAAAAAAAAAGGAATGCTTCTCACTACACAATAATTTAATTACTTCAAAAATTAATAATAATAAGACAATAATCACCATCACATGATAGTAGATTTATTGTTTGGGAGTTTATCAATTTATCTCTTTTTTTAACAAATTCTTTCAAATTCAAGATAATCTTACATAAAAAATAATAAATAAAAAAATAAAGAAAGAAAGAAAACATATAAAAAGAACAGTGAGAGGGAACAAAAAAAGTGGTTCTACAATTTTGGGGGTAAATATTTAAGTGGTTCTACATTAAAAAGCTTTGAAATCCCTTAATTTTATTTTATTTTTTAAATAAGACATTATGATCATTTAAAATTACACTAAACTCCTTGGATGGTTTCGAGTACATTAAAATTTTCAGATAACAAGTATGGATAGATATATGACAAATAATTGCACCTCTGTTACGTTTTTTTTTTCATGTCATGTAACTTCTTGGTGTCATACTCCAGTACCACTTATTATTAGTTTCTTTTATCCATTCTTCTTCGTGCCACCAAGTTGATAACGTTTTCTCAACATGGTATTACTGTTAAAGAAAGGTGAGAGTAATTATCTAAGTAACATTACACACATACATACGTATATAAATATATACTAATAAAAGACACGTGATGAATATTTTGTAACTTATAGAATTTATAATTTTTAATTATTTATAGTCCAAAATGCTTTAGAGAGTAATAATTGTTACCTCTAAAGAAACAAAATAAGGTTATCCATTAATGGATAAAAAAAAATTATAAATAATTAAAAATATATGAAAATAAAAATTCTATAATTTACAAAACATTCATAAATAAATACTATATAAAAATTCTATAATTTGAAATATATATAATTTAAAATTTTTAATTTCTTAGCCAAAAGGCCGAGAAATGTGTGATTAATATTTCTTTAGGTTTATAGTTTTATAAGAGGCTTCCATGTAATCCGTTTATAAGAGACTTCCATATAATCCTTTATAACTCAAAACCAATGTGGGACCAGAAAAATGTTCAATTAATTTTTTTAATAAATATTTTTTTATATTTTATTTTGTTTTAAATTTTATTAGGCAATTTGTAATTTGAATTAAACTCTTTAAATAATTTTTAGGTAATTTAAACTCTTTCTTTCTATTAATAAATAAATATTAAAATACTTAAACTCTTTGCATATTTAAAATATTTCTTTAAGTCTATAGTTTTATAAAAGGCTTCCATGTAACCAATTTGGGATTATAAGAGGCTTCAATGTAATCATTTTAGAAGAGGCTACCATATAATCCTTTATGACTCAAAACCGACGTGGGATTATAAGAGGTTTCCATGTAATCATTTTATAAGAGGTTTCTATGTAATCCTTTATAACTCAAAACCGATGTGGGACAAGAAAATTATTCAATCAATTTTTTTAATAAATATTTTTTATATTCTATTTTGTTTTGACTTTTATTAGGTAATTTGTAATTTTAATAAAACTCTTTAAATAATTTTTAGGTAATTTAAACTCTTTTTTTATATTAATAAATAAATACTGACTCTTTGCACATTTAATAATAATATAGAATGTCTATAGTTTTACAAAAGACTTCAATATAATCCTTTTATAAGAAGCTTTCATGTAATCATTTATAATTTAAAACTGATGTAGGACAAGAAAAATGAATTTTATTAGGTAATTTGTAATTTTATTAGGTAAATGTTCAATTAATTTTTTTAATAAATATTTTTTGTATATTTTATTTTGTTTTAAATTTTATTAGGCAATTTGTAATTTAAATTAAACTCTTTAAATAATTTTTAGGTAATTTAAACTCTTTTTTATCGTAATAAATAAATACTAAAATACTGAAAGTTGCTTAATTAATTTTTTTAATAAATATTTTTTATATTTTATTTTTTAAAATTTTATTAGGTAATTTATAATTTGAATTAAACCCTTTAAATAATTTTTAGCTAATTTAAACTTTTCTTATATTAATAAATAAATACTGAAACTCTTTGCTCTTAGCCAAAAGGCCGAGAAATGTGTGAATAATATTTCTTTTGTTAAATTTTTTTATATTAATAAATAAATACTGAAATTCTTTATTCTTAGCCAAAAAGGTCGAGAAATGTGTGATTAATATTTAGTTAGGTCTATATTTTTATAAGAGACTTTCGTGTAATCCTTTTATAAGAGACTTCTATGCAATCATTTATAACTTAAAACCGATGTAGAATTATAGGAAGCTTCCATGTAATCTTTTTATAAGAGGCTTTCGTGCAATCTTTTATAACTCAAAATCGATTTGGGACAAGAAAAATGTTAAATTAATTTTTTTAATAAAGACATTTTATATTTTATTTTAATAAATATTTTTTTATATTTTATTTTGTTTTGAATTTTTTTTGGTAATTTGTAATTTGAATTAAACTCTTTAAATATTTTTTAGGTAATTTGAACTCTTTTTTTATATTAATAAATAAATACTGAAACTCTCTTCTCTTAGTCAAAAGGCTGAAAAATGTGTAATTAATATTTCTTTAGTTAAATTTTTAATATTATTAATAAATAAATACTGAAAACTTTTGCTCTTAGTCAAAAGGCCGAAAAATCGATGTGGGATTATAAATGGCTTCCATGTAATCATTTTATAAGAGGTTTACATGTAATCTTTTATAACTCAAAACTAACGTGGGATAAGAAAAATGTTCAATTAATTTTTTTAATAAATATTATATATATATATATATATTTTTTATTAGGTAATTTATAATTTGAATTAAACTCTTTTTTTTTAATATTAATAAATAAATACTGGAACTCTTTGCACATTTAATAATAGTATAGATGAATTATATTAGGTAATTTGTAATTTGAATTAAACTTTTAAAATAATTTTTAAGTAATTTAAACTCTTTTTTGATATTAATAAATAAATATGAGAAATGTGTGATTAATATTTCTTTAGTTAATTTTTTATATTAATAAATATATACTAAAAACTATTTGCTCTTAGCCAAAAGGCCGAGAAATGTGTGATTAATATTTATTTAGGTTTATAGTGATTAATATTTATTTAGGTTTATAGTTTTATAAGAGGTTTCCATGTAATTCTTTTGTAAGAGGCTTCCTTGTAATTTTTTATAACTCAAAACCGATGTGGGATTATAAGAGGCTTCCATATAATCATTTTATAAGAGGCTTCTATGTAATTCTTTATAACTCAAAATCGATAAGGGAGAAGAAAAATGTTCAATTAATTTTTTTAATAAATATTTTTTCTATTTTATTTTGTTTTGAATTTTATTAGGTAATTTTTAATTTGAATTAAACTCAAATAAATACTGAAGGATTGAAACTTTTTGCATATTTAATAATAGTATAAATGAATTTTATTAGGTAATTTGTAATTTGAATTAAACTCTTTAAATAATTTTTAGATAATTTAAACTCTTTTTTTATATTAATAAATAAATAACGAAACTCTTTTTTCTTAGTCAAAAGGCCGAGAAATATGTGATTAATATCTTTTTTATTAATTTTTTTATATCAATAAATAAATACTGAAACTCTTTGCTTTTAGTTAAAAGGCCGAGAAATGTGTGATTAATATTTCTTTTGTCTATAGTTTTATAAAAGGCTTTCACGTAATTATTTTATAAAATGCTTCCATGTAATCCTTTATAATTCAAAACCGACCTGGGATTATAAGAGGCTTTCATGCAATCATTTTATAAGAGGCTATCATATAATCCTTTATAACTCAAAACCGACGTGGGACAAGAAATATGTTTAATTTATTTTTTTAATAAATAATTTTTATATTTTATTTTGTTTTGAATTTTATTAGGTAATTTTTAATTTGAATTAAACTCTTTAAATAATTTTTAGGTAATTTAAACTCTTTTTTTGTATTAATAAATAAATATTGAAATACTGAAACTTTTTGCACATTTAAATGTTTTGAATTTTATTAGGTAATTTTTAATTTGAATTAAACTCTTTAAATAATTTTTAGGTAATTTAAACTCTTTAAATAATTTTTAGGTAGTTTAAACTATTTTTTTATATTAATAAATCAATACTGAAATACTAAAATACTAAAAGATTGAATTTTTTTGTACATTTAATAATAGTATAGATATATACATAACCTGTTTATTAACATGAGGCAAAAATGAAACTTTCAATTTGTAAATCAATATTTGTGTTGGCATCATAAATTGTTATATAATGTGACATTTATTTTAATGAAGGAAGGTTATATTAACATTTTGAAATCGTTTTCAACCCTTAAGCTGTGGGAAGCAGAGAGTGAAATTTTGTTCCTGAAGTATTAGAATTTTATTATAAGCTGAAACATGAATTTGGGTTAATAATTTACGAAACCTAGGGCAGCATAAATTTTTGTTTCCTTTCTCAAAAACAAGGTACTCGCGTTTTTTTTTTTTTTTTTTTACTTCTCTGACAATGGAAGGTACTCGTTTTACTATATTTAAAAGGAGAAAAAGGGCGAAAAAATTGATAATAATAATAATTAACAGAGAGGGAGAAACAGAAAGAGGCATTGGAAAGCTTAGAGAGTTACAAATAGGGTAGAGAGAGGGGGAAGAGAGAGGGGGGGGCAGAGGGGTTTGGTTTCACCAAGCGTCATACATGCCATGCCAACGTGATGCGTCACTGTCAAGCACAACACAGCACAGCACAGCACAGCACAGCACTCCTCCCCTATAAAAACCAAGAGCGTTAACTGCGAGGTGGTTCAGTATCTCAGAGATCAGCACTCAAATCTCTCTCTCTAACCAAATGACAATGGCAATGGCTGCTCCTTCAATGCCCAAAGCAGGCGGTCTGAGTCCCCTCTACTTTCGTGTCAAAGAATGCCCTCTTTCCGCCTCCAGTTTGATCCGTCACAAGTTGAGCCAAACTCTATTTGCTCCTCAACTCACCCTCCCACTCAAACGCACAACCACAAATGCGTCTCTTCTTCCTAAAATTGTAGCCCAAACTTCTCCAAGTATATATAATTTATCGTCTTATTTTTTTTATGCCTTTAATTTTGATTCTCGATTTTCATTTCCTTTTCTTTCTGTTTGTGTCTGCGTATCTATCTATGTATAATTCTTGTATGCTTAATTAATTTATCTGTTCTGTGCTTAATTGCTGCTTGTAGATTATGTGCCGGATGCCAAGTTTTACAAAGTGGAAGCCATTCTGAGGTCCTCCCATTTTTGTATCTGTTTTCGTATTCATTTCTTCATGTTCTTCAACTTTATTTTTTTATTTTTTATTTTCCTTCTTCTAGTTAGTGATTGCATGGCTTGTGCCATTGTCTATTCTGCATTTGTTTTTGAAATCTGTTATATTGTTTTGTTATATAAATTCATATTGTTTGGAATTTCTAATTCTTATTGTTGCTTTTGTTCTGCTGGTTAATCTGAAACAATGCAGGCCATGGCGAATCCCAAAGGTTTCCTCGGTAAGACTACTTACTACTCATTCTTTATTATTCTCGATTACATTTTTCTCATTTATATATTTATTTATTTGATAGCTAGTACGGACACCCATCTCTGAACTGGGATGGGATTTGAACCATGCACATCCCTCTTCAGGATGACAGCACAGGAGATACCACTTAACTCAAACTGCTAGTGGTCTCTCTGCTCTATACAATATAAGAATATATTATGTAATTACTACGGCTTCATGCATGCAATCTCTCACTCTTGTTGGGAAGAAGAAAACAAAGGAAGAGAAAAAAATGTAATAAATACTAAAACTGGACTGGCAAACTCATAAATTATTTGTTAAACACCTCAATGGTAAGCTCAGGCAACCTTCTCCTAAAATGGCCTTTTTACACTTGTCGCCGGTCATAGCCTCACTTCATTCCCACAAAAGGAATATTCCTTTTTCTAGTCTGGGACTAATTTGATAGAAAAGCATGAAACCACGCTCCAAGTTTTGTTAGTTCTAGAGAATTTCATAAACTGCAATGAATTTCTTACGTAGCCACTTAGTGCATTGCCTTCAATAACAACATTCCAAATTTCAGATACGTTAACATACTGCGTAATCCATACAACACATACGTTAATTTGGTGAGAATTTGTCGTATTGCGACCTTCGTTTGGAACATAATTTGCATGAATTATTTATTCTATTGTCCGAACAGTATTTATGCGACAAAATTAGAAAGATAATAATTGGTTCCTGTATTAGTATATTCAATAGTCGTAATTATGGCACATGTGAAGTTGTCAGAATCGACAAGCCATGCACAAGAGCATGTCAACATTTTGACAAATTAAATATAGATGACCATTCTTGTAAAACATGCCAAATGCTTGTCATCTAACGCCATTTGGACCAATAGGTCAGATGAACCGTTATCAAGCGGCAATGTCTTATTCACTCCTTTGTAGCTAGTGAAAAGTTAGATAGGTAGAAAGTGGAGCATGGTTTTTGATGTCAGTGTTGGTGATGGTATGATTTCAATGGTGTTAATGGAGTTGCAGTGAACAGGAGCTAAATTGTTGGGATTTTTCTCAGAATCTTTATCTTTGGGTTTTCTATCTTAGAGTTTTTAATATGGTATCTATTTTGGTTTTATTGTGTCAAAAGGAAATTTACTAATCTAGCCTAACAAAGTTTTTGTTTAGTAACTAAAAAGAAGCCCTGTTGTAGGGTTTTATTTGTAAGGCAGAGAGAGTGTGAGAGAAAGTTATTGTACGAAATCTCCATATTATTGTATAGTGTTTATGCCTACAAATGCAGCCTGTTGTACTTGAAGCATAAATTGCACAGTTTGCATATGAAAGAAAGTTCAAGTAAATTTGAGAACTTGAATGAATTTTACAGATTTATTTGTGAACATGACAAACACTATAGTATCTTATATTACATATTCTCACATGTTTTAAGATGACTATGTCCATTCTTTTGAAGTTGAGGCAGAGCAGCTCTGATACTTTGAGGCATGTGCTTTTATACTTTAAGGCATTTGAATATTTTGGGTTAACCGGATTCTATTCTTACAGTAGGGTTGAATGACATTAATTTCCTTGCTACTATATTTGGTGTATAGTGGGGTCTCTTCCTGCATCATATTTATGATCACCACTGGGTTCGTTTTATAAAGTTTTAAGTCTTGAGGGTTTTATTGTCTTAAAAGTTTTGGGAGGAGACTAGTGGGTTCAAAGAAAATATATTATCAAGGGTGATTGTTTAATGTTTATTAAGAGAATGTTGTCCTCTGACTCCACTTGACTGTCTATTTCGTATATATATTTTCACCATGTTAGTGTTTATGGTGGAGACGCCAGGTAAATAGCTACAAGACTTTTGGAGAAGGGATTGCGGCATCCCCTCTTAGTTTTGAGTAGGCGAAACCATACTGTTTTGGTTCTTTTCCACATTCTTACCGGTTGATCCAGGAATTTGTCTATGAGAGGAGTTAAAATATCACTTGGTGGATTAAATACGGTTTGATTTCTATCAAGCATATAGTTAGAAATTAGAAGTCTCAAAAATGTTTAATTAGGTGTTCCTAATGAAGTTATGGGGGATTTGCATCATAGAGTTGGATAACTGCTGGAAGAGAGTAGTGGTTAGAGAGTTAGGGGCCATATGAAGGGTTGGCCTACTGTGGATGTTAATTGCTCAAAGGTGTAAGCATGTAAGAAGGCACTGTCAGATTTTGGGATGAGTTCTTCAAAAATGTTTGTTTATTAGTTGGGGGGGAAATGATGGTAAGCTTATGACATGATAAACAGTGCGGGGATGCCACTTTTAGAGACTTATTTCCAGAATCAAATTACACAGCTAGAAATTAATAAGGATGCTTTAGCAGGGAATCATCTCATTCATCCTACAAATGGGTGATATGGGATGTTGGATTCCTGAGGTCAGTGCATGATTGGGTGGTTGGGCCGGTGTTGGAGCTTTTCCCTTGGAAAAGTACTTTGTGCGTAAAACCTCCTTCTGTGGTTTCTTGTTCTCTCTCTTTTTTATTTTTATTTTTATTTTATTTTTGCATGGTTGACATCCATGAGAAGATCCTTGTCAATTCATTAAAGAGAAGAATTTATACCAAATTGTTGTTGTATGTGTAAGTGGACTGGGAAATTAGTGGATTATCTTCTTATACGTTGTAGAGTTGCAAGGGAGTTTGATATCTTCCGGGATGGCGTGGGTGATCCTTGTACCATTTGCAGAAATTCTAGAGAGTTAGAGAGGTGGTAGAATTAGTCAGTGGAGAAGGAAGGCTGGGTTGTGCCCTTTGATTTTGCTGTGGTGTACATGAGAGGAGAGCTTTCGGCTCTCTTTTATTGGAGAAGAAGAGCATATCCACTAGTTGAAGAGTTAACTTTTTTGGGTTCAACTATTTTGTAGGTTTAGTGTGTAGTTTAAAACAAGGAGGTACAAAGCCTTCCGTTGATACCTTTTTTGGACTCTGGGGAGCGTTTAGATTCCTTTGCTATTTCCTGGTTTATATAGTTTTTTAATTAATAAATAATTAAAACTACATATGGTCTTGCACATTTGTGAATAACCTGATTTTTTAACTTAAAAAACTTGAGTAAAAACGTTTGAGGCTTTACCTTGGTTTTCTATATGAGAATTTGTACATATAAATGTGTCCTTAAGCTTTAACAAAAACAATGAACATAAATGGTAAGCCAAAATGTAATTTAAAATTATTCGTATGTATCAAAATAATTAACAGATTGAACAAGAAGATTGTGGTCTTACCCGATATAGCTTCATAATGGCTAAATGTGGACCATCCAGTAGCCTAGCACACCAGTATTAGGGGATCATTGACTCGTAGTATATATCTGTGACTATAGTTCACGCCAGTGACTAATATGGATATGTGTAGGTCAACATGGTGACATGGTCGTTATTTGCTGATATCTGAAACCATAAAGGGATTGATGACATCTTGATGGAGAACGGAGCATTTGCCCGAGGGTTTGAAGAACACATGACCCGCACCTACTATTACAGACATGAGAAAGATAGATAGACTTAGGGATTTTTGTCCATTTATTATTATTATTAATTTGGGAATGCTCTATTTCTAGGATATTTTATTAATTTAATATTTTAGGGTTTTATTTTTAGTAGTAGATTTTTATTAGGGTTTTTCCTTTGCTTATATATGTAAGTGGGTTGATACATTGAGAAGTCACTTTTTATGATTATTGATTATTGAATATATTGAGATTACAGATATCTTCTTCTCCCACATTCTTCTTCTCTTCCCTCTCATTCTCTCTCTCATTCTTATCAAATTTTGATATTGAGGCACCCCTACCTGTCATGCTTAACATCTGTAGGAAGAAGCCAATCTAAGCAAACCAAGTTAAAGGAGGCCACAGTCACCCAGTCCTGTGGTTATTCTTAGGGTTGTGCTTCTATGGTTCTTGTAAATCATGAGCACTGCAACCAGGGATCCTAGATTTTCCATGTTATTGGACAATGCTCTTGCTTTATGGCTTTTATTTTTTGTCACCATCTGGACTCCGGAAAAGTGATAAAGTGAATAAATAATTTTTAGGCTAGCATTGTTTTGCTTGGATCTTCTTCAAAATCCTTTTTAATTCTATTTTAGTTTATTACTTTTACATATACATCATTTCCAACTTACTTGAATGTTTTTCCTACTCAAATTGAAGAAATTAAAATACCAAGATCCATTGTTTTGATCTCATATCAAGTATGAAATATGTGCCCAGAATTGAATAAAAGCTTCAAATTTTCTGTCTCATGTGGCCTTACAAACTTATTTATTCTTTATTCTTGCAAACATATTTACATTTACTTGTGAGAAGTTGAACAAGTAAAAAGAAAGATTATGAACTCAAATAAAGCATCCGCATGATCATTGATGTCTTTCCACCATTTATTTTTATTTCCTCAACTAATTGTCGAAATCCCATACTTAAATATATATCAGATGCCCGTCACACCATCACATGAGGAAAAGGGAAGATAAGAAAAAGTGCTTAAGATAAAAGCTGCAGATTTAATTTTAGTAGTGTTGCCACGTGTTGATTCTAACAATTGTGTCTTTTGTGAACTGTGAAGGCCCTGCTGAAAATGGGTATCCGTGGCGTTACAGTTTCTGATGTTAGAGGTTTTGGAGCTCAAGGTGGTATGACTGAGAGGCAGGCTGGTAAGTGCTTCTTATTGAGGTTTTAAATACAGATGATTTAATCTCTCATAGTTACTATTTCTTATTCCCTTTCTTTTCCTTGATTCCTTCCCAATACAATAAATTCAAAAAGTAACTTAGATGAGATTCTTGATCCTAAGTTTAATAATGGTGCAATTCACCAAAATCTACATCTTTATTTCTCTTTTTGAGTTTGATTGCTGATTAATGTATAGAACTAATTAAACAAATATGTGCCAATGTAATATTTCATTTCTGTTTTTTTGTTTTCTTTTTGTTGGGGGTGGTGATGGTGGTTGGGCACAGATGGTATAGATGATGCACCTCACACATTTTCCTACTTCTGCTGATTTAGTATTTAGTTGTCTTTTCAAACTTTCTTCCCATATATTAATCTTGTTTATCCTCTGCAGGCTCTGAATTTTCTGAAGACAAGTTTGTAGCTAAAGTTAAGATGGAGATTGTGGTGAGCAAAGAACAGGTAAAATTTTCTTAATTCTGTGAGAAGACTTTCTCAAGTTGTGTTGTGACCTAAAATTAGAATCTCTTTTTTTTCTTTTTTTTTTTTTGGTGCTTTTCAAAAAAGTTGGTCTAATACATACTATGAAGTGTTGTGGTAAGGTGTTGCTTAGAAGACCTATATTCCTGGTATGTTGATTAATAGAGTATCACTCATATGATTCCTTGCTTTATACTCTCTTAGGTTGAAGCAGTAATAGATAAGATAATTGAAGAGGCAAGGACTGGAGAGATTGGCGATGGCAAAATTTTCCGTAAGATATCAGATTTTTCTGCATTTTACAAGTTATTTATAATTTTTGGAAATTTCTGAGTTCCAGTTTGACTAAACTTTGGATTGCAATTCATGTGTCATTATATATGATTCCATAAACGTATATTCGATTAACTGTTAGCTCTTTCTTCTTCCTTTTTATCCCATGTGATCTTCATTTGGTGTTAGGGAGAAGTAGATATAACAAACGCACCGGAATCATGTTTGCCGCTTGAGAAAATTGATACTTATTGTGACTCAATTACTGAAAAAGAAACAGAGTGTGACACATTATATGATACCACATTTAGGTACTTTTTGAGCTGGCTTTCTAGGTCTCATTCGGTCATATTATTCAATACTTACTTCATAATTTAATTGAACATATCTTGTAAACTGCTAGCTTGTTTTCTAGTTCCACTATAGCATTTTCTTTTGAACAAAGTGAAATAGAATAGTCATAAAAAAAGGAGTTCAAAAGTTTTTAGTTTTGTCTTGCTCAAATTAAGCGTTGTTGTAGTGGCGTAATGGTGCTTTACATTGCCCTGGAATTAATGCATTGATTTTGGGTTGTAGAAACTCATTCTCTTCATACATGATTGCAAGGCAATTAAAGAAATGCTGCAGTATCCACAATTGTATGCATGCAAAGGAGAGAAAACATTACAATAAAAGAACAATTCCATACTATTTAAAGAAGAACAATACTTAGGTCCTCACTAGTGAGGATCTACACCATCTCACTGTTGATGTGAACGAATAATAAATGGACATGTCATCTTTAATTACCAAATTCAATATGGTGGGTAAATACCCACTTACCAAATCAGAGATTGTGATTTGATTACCATCTATGATTTGGTAATTAAAATAGAATGTGTCCATTTATTATTGGTCCACATCAGCGGTTAGTTTGGTGTAGATCCTCACTAGTGAGGACCTAAGTATTGTTCTTTAAAGAAATGGTTGATAGTTTGCCAGAAGTTTTGTGTTCTCAAAACTTTGTTAATGATTGTTTCCTTTTGTGATGAGAAGAGCTAATGTGAAAGCTCCTGGGTACATAAAGAGTAGGTTCTTATGAATGAATAAGCTGCAAGAAGGTATTATACGTAATTTGGAGAGAATCCACCAGTCTAGATGAAAACTAAAGCTGACTTTATGAGTTTGGGGTTTAAGCTTTGGTTTTATAGAGTAAAAGAGTGATTTGTGGATCATCTTAAATACACGATCGGTCTAGGTTTTGATTATTCCTTCTTAGTCCTAAGTATGTGGGAAAAAGTCTATTTTGTAATGGGTGAGAACAAGGCACTGCTAATGCTTGACATGGCTCGTCAGGTCATGAGGCTTACTGCCATCACAGACATATTAGATGCTTACACGTGCTCACTGGGGCTGTCTGACCAGGATGTGGTTAGGACGCATAACAGTTACAAGGGAGGTGAACTCGGTATTAGTGTGATGCTGAGGTGACAAATTTACAGACACTTCCATAAGTTAATAGGGTAGTGGTCACGTATGGTTGATCTGGTTTGTCAAAGTTATGTCTCTTCATAAGGACAATGTCACGCGGGAGTCAGGTCGAAGTGTATTAGATGTTGAAGGTGAGGCCACCTCGAAGTCTTGGACTCATTGCACCAACCCAATTACCCCTAGGAACCCAGCGCGCCGCATGCATGAATGCATATATATGTATCTTAAGGTCAGTTATGATGCAGCCTCGCACCAAATGTCAAAAGGGTCGTGCTGCTGAATTTGACATGTTTATATTCACACTGCATGCATGGCTGCTGAATTACTTAAGTATCTTAAGGTCAGTTATGATGCAGCCTAGCACCAAATGGTAGACTCCTCCGCCCTGCTGCCAACTTGGGCAATACACGGGGTACATCAAGATGTGTTCAATAGTTTTTAAATATGCCTGTAGAAGAGGCAAACAGGGCTTATTTAGTTATTTATAGAGGAGGTACTTGTGATATACATGCTTTCAGTGAGGTTTATCTATAGAGAGGAGGCCACATATAGATACCTGTTGGAAGGCTGTGTCCCATTGCACAAGTGCTTGCAGAGAAAGCTTGTGAGTTCTTTCTGCAGTCAGACTTGCAGAAGTACAGAGGGCTTATGTTGCAAGAGATGAATTGCACAAGTGGGGAAGTCGGGAATCGAGTTCCGTTGGAGGATAGTAGTCCATGAACTGAAGTGTGTAACAAGAAGTGTTCACGTTGCATGAGTGGTTCAAAAGAGAATAAATGAAAACAACTTTGTCGAGGTCATCATTGACCAAATCCTGCAATTAGACATTAGTTTGTTTTGGACAAAGTTTAGTGAGAAGAAACAAGGAACCATCAAGGTGACATGGTGGAAATAACAAAGTACCCCGACTTTCATGTCCATGCCACATTTCAAGATGAAGCATGGCATTTGGGTACCATGTGTGAATCTTAGGCCATGTACCCATTAAGAGAACCTGCGTTGCTTACTTTTTGGTAGCACTTCAGATGTTGTAGTTAGATTTATTTTGCATGCCGACTTTATGATTGGGGGCTATGTCTAAAATATTAACTACAAAACTTGTGGTTAGATATACCGGAAATGGAATGAATATTCGAAGTCAAAATGGTAAGATGCTAGTGACCATTTATTGTGAGTAGTCAGACCGACTTATTATTATAAAATGACAAATATGTTTAATATGGAATTTGGATGGATTTAAAACTGGTCAGATTTCTCATAGATTTGGATTGTTTATGCAGTGGTGCCTGTCACAGATGTAATAAGAGTTCGCACAGGTATGTTGTCTTCTACACAAATCCTTTATTTATTTATTATTTATTATTTGTGTGTGTGTGTGTGTTTGGTATTCTATTTTCATCGATCTTAAAAATGCATATTTTTAGGTGAGCGCGGAGAAAAGGCTGAGAGGATGATGGGAGGGCGATCTGATGTGTCCTCTGCTGCGAGGCATTTCTAAGTTGCAATATGACTGGTGCAAGTTTAGCAGTGTACTACTTACATAAAAATAGGAGACTTTCTAGTTTCTATATGTAATACCTGCTGTGCTGCTCTGCTCTGCTCTGCTCTGCTCTGAATGAGAATAAAGGCCGGACGGCCGGGACCAGTCTGTGCAACTTTGGTTTTATGAGAATAGAAAGATAAAACTTGGAATAGTACGTAGCTGCTTTGTCTTGTTTGATATATGAGGTTATAATTCAACTATTACTTGCACCATAGCTAACCCAGAATTAGCTTTTAGCTGAACAACTGGATGCCCCTTTAGAGAGAGGCAAGGGGAAGTGCCTCTGGTATTTCAGTTTCGATCATAATATTTGCTCCGGTATATCATCAAATGGAATATGGATGATAATGAGTAGGCCTGCCTCTTCTTATAGTACCAAATATTTTGCTTAGAATCTTTTTTTATACTCCGTATTTATTAATAATATTATGTATTGTGGAAAAGTGTTTTCTTATTTATTTATGACGGTACTTTTTTTTTTTTTTTTTTTGGGGCATAGGAAAAATACCATTCACTCTCTTTAAAAATCCTTATATATATATTTATTTATTTATATGACAATATTATTCTTCCTCGGTCTAAACAAGTGTATGGAGATTGAAATAATAATAGTAGGTGAAGTGTTAGACTATTGACTATTCTATTCAAACTATTTTAAATTATTTTTACATTCCTTATTTATTTCTGTGATATCAAATGTCATAATTTTCTTTTTCAGGGTCTAAATAAATTTATTGAAGTAATAAAAATAAGTTGGTAGGGCAACTGTTATTTCATTTTCTACAGGAAAAAATAAAATAAAAAGATGAAGAAGTAAAATGTGAAAAGTGTCATTTCATTTAAAGAAAAATGAGAAATGTGTAAAGTGCTGGAGTGTAAACATCGCTTTTGCAAATGAAATTGTTTTAAGCAGAATATATATTTTTATTATTTATTGGCTTTTGCTTAAATTGACTAGTCTTTCAATTGCTGCTTTTTAAATAATTTTCAATTGTATCTACAATCATTTTACTTTATCTACGTATTTCATCCCATGTGTTAAGAGGGAATGTAAACGAGTAAGTAAAAACATTATCAAAAGACGATCTTTTTAGATGACCATTAATTGTCATCATTCTTATCCAAATCTTTATGAGTGGGTTGATCACATAAATTGACTTCTCTAATCTTTCTTATTATATGTTATTTTACTTATTATATTTAACTTTTTAAAATTATATGTACGTTCAATTCATTTAAGAGCATATCTATGCTAATTTTTTTTTTTTTTTTTTAAATATGATTAGATTTACACAAAAATTTTGTACTAACTATTTTTAACTCCATTCAGTTTACTTTTTCGCGATTAAACCTTACATCCCAATCCTCCTCAATTAGGGAAAAAATAATAATTTTTCCCTATATTTCACTTTCTCATCCCGCCAATAGCAAACTTTTCACGCCATCGCCACCGAAAACTTATAACAAATAATAAAAATAAGATTCAAGTATGTAGAAATTACGTGATTAAAATATATATCTAATATTTGGCAATTACATATTTATTTCATTAGAATAGAATGTAAAAGGATAAAAAATCTATAAAAAAAAAACCCTAGAATCTACACTATGATTGAAGAAGATAAAGATCAAACAAAAGTGATTAATCAAATTATGTTTATTAAAAAATATATACAAATAAATAAAAGATGGTCGAGTAGTTCTTACCTTGCTGCCAGTTACAGATTCTTCTCTGTTGCACTCTAGAAAAGTGAGAAACAAAGAGGCGTAAAGGAATGAGAGAGAAGAAAGAGAACCGTGAGTGGGAAAGGGGGAGGAGAGAAAAAATATGCTTACTTGGCAGTGTAAAAGTGTTGTGACAGTGTATATTTTACACAAAAGAATTTTTTAACAGACCCGCTAGAGATACTCTAAGTATATTTATGACCTTTTAGATAAACTAAATTAGTGTAAATGAAAATCGGTCATGAATCAAAACTGTCTTTAGTACTTTTTTTTTTCCTTTTTTTCCCTATTTCTCGCGGGTAAATCCCTCATATTTATTTTGATGGGAAATTAATTTTTGGTGACCTTTAATAAAAATTTGCCTTAAAGTGACCTTAAACTTAAAAAAAAAAAAAAAGGGTAAATTGTAACTAAATTTTAAAATGAATTGCCAATTAGTAACCAATTAAGGTAATTTGATCAAAAACACAAACTTATTTTGTGTCAGTTTATAATCTTATACCAGAAATTTTTAGAATTCCACGAGGGTACAGTACCAAGGGTCTCCCAGCAATTGGAAGTGGTAATAGAGTACACCTAATGAATGACCAAAGGCTGAAAGAGCTGGGATATTATAGAATTTCTCATGTCGGGAGATTTTTTTACCATATGTTTGAAAAAAATATATATATTTAGTAATAGATTAAAAGTTGATAAACCTGGTTTAGAACACGAGCGGTAAAAAAACACACATTTTTCTTCGCAAGCCATAACACATATTAATACTCTCTCATGACTTCTTAATAAAAACCAGTTATGGTCTTATGGATCTGTTCATTATAAACCGCATTGTCCCTAGATTCACTCCTACCCCTCTCTCGTACGTCTCATCGTCCACCTAACAAATTTAGACCTATAACCCCTCGACCACCACATAACCCCTCTCGACTACCACGTGTATGCCTAACCCCTGTCAGCAGTCTCAAACTAGGATCACATGCCAAAATGTGGATTTTTTTTCATGGAAGAAAACGAGTTTTGAAGCCGTTGATATTCGCGCTCTACGTACATATTATGGTGCTCCACTATCTTATTTTAATAAAATAAAATTGTGCAAAAGTCTGAATTACAATAAAATCTTTTTAATGCCATATTGGCCCTTCCATATCAGCCTGGGATTCTTCACACTCTGACGGTCTCCCTCTCTCCCTCTTGACAGGTGTCTAGGATCTAATTAAGGTTATTCTATAGCAAATTTATTCAACTTTGGACACCAAAATCTAATTTTTTCTAATTTTGAAATTTTACTACTTTAAACAATAAATTTTACTGGTAGAATTTTAACAATTTGTACACCAATAAAAATGAAAGACTAACAAGTAGCTGTTGAATTTGCACTGAGGATACAGAAAGAGATGTGGACTTTTTAAGAATGCAAAAAATAAAAAATTGTTCTCAAAGAATAATCTTTTATAATTATTTGAAAATAGGCATTTTTATAAGTGAGTTTTCAGAAAACCAAACATAAGCTTATTTGGTTTATAATTTTAGAAATAATTTTCAAAAATTCAGAAAATAAATAACAGTTTTCAAAAAGATTAAAAAACTGTTATTTGAAAATAGGCTATAAAAATTGTTCTTTGAAAACTGACTTTTTTATAACTGTGTTTTAAGAAAACAGTTTTCGAAAAACTAAACCAAGTAGAATTTTTTGTATAATTTTTTATTTTTAATTTTTTTAAGGACAGAAAACTGTTTCCATAATAACAAACCAAATAAACTATAATGCTTTCTATTTTTAATTTTTTAAGAATAAAAAACTTTTATAGTAGTTATAAACCAAACAGACGTTAGTTTGTTGGGCCACTCATTTTCCTCACACTGCTCTTCTAAGTCTTCTGTAAGCAAAAGGTCAACAAATTGCAATAAAATATTTCAAGACAATTAAATTGCAATAATTAATAGTATAACTTTTCCAACTAAGTAAATGGGTAAACAAATGGAAATAGCTGGGGCTCATTTGCTTAAATAGAAATAAGTAAGAAAAAAAAAAATTTGAAAGAAAAATGAAGTGAAAATAAAATAAATTTTCTACCGTACATTTGGTTAGTATGAAAATTTATCTAAGAAAATTATAAAAAAAATATTAATTTGTTAGTTTGGATAATATGAAAGTGAAAAAAGAAGTGATTATTCATACCAAAATTACCCTTATTAAGTAAGATGATGAATTATTAAATTCAAATATATAATTGTTTATATTCATTTCTATTAAGGTAAAGTACACCAATATAGAAGCCGGCGAGATCTGAGCTTAAACCGGATGGACTTGGACGGAACGACAAGATCCTTTTTTGTGATCGACGAAGTGGGCCCTCACGTCGTTGAAGGCGTCACTACAAAACCCAATTACTCGGTCTAAAAAACATCACCGCAGGCAACAGCGCTCCGTCGCTGAGGATGTGAACTGTTTTTTAAGGATAATCGGTGTATAGGGAGAGGAGGAAAAGGGCAATTAGGTCATTTAATTATTTTTGATATTTTACTATTAAAATTAATCAAATGATGTACGATAAATTAGACTTTTCACACGTTTTTAGGTTCTATTTGGCTGTCAAATCTAACAAGGGGGTGTCATTGTCAAAAAATTGAGTAAGTTTCATCTGTGTGTCCTTTTGGTAAACTTTAGGGTGTGCTGTACTTACCCTATTTATATTTAGAATAAGACTTCATAATATTTTTTTAAGTAAAACTAATTATTAGTTTAAAATAAACAAATAATAAAAAAAAATTAGAGATGAAAAGACAATACAACTATTTGGGAGAAAAATCAAATATTTCACCATATAATATATATACACACGGATTATGAGTGACTAGAATTGCAACAATTATAAAAAATAAAAAATTATATTTAAAAGCCGGATCTATTTTGAACAACTTTACCTGTAGAATTTAAGTTGCGAACTTACCTGAGAATATAAGTTGTTGTAACTGCAAATAAATTAATGCTTCTTTTACTTAAAAATAAAATTTTGGCGTTTAATTAGGTGTCTCTTTCCATCTATTCAAACTTTAAAAAATTTGAAAAATTTAAAAATTTTCCTTTACTTTTTTTTCTTTCCTCAGTGGTTTCCACCTAACTAAACAAAGCCTGAGACTAATAAATTAAAAAACAAAAGACGAACCAAATCCAAATGGAGTGAGATTGAATGAAGAAATGTTTCGTTAAAACTTTGAAAAATAAAAAAATTTCAAAAATTTTTAAAAATTTTCATTCCTTTCTTTTCTTTCCAAATCGGTTTTTCCTAACCAAACAAAGCTAGGTGTAATAAAATGAGAAACAAAAGACGAACCAAATCCAAATGCCGAAAATAAAAAAAATTTGAAAAATAGCCATATTATTGGACGTCCTTCCCAATAAATAGGCGTCCCAAATTCCAAACCGTTCTCTTTTTTTAGTTGCTAGGGGCAGGGGTAGCTCCTTTCTGAGTTTGAGACAGACTCGGAAGGAGAAAGAGAGAGAATCAAGTCTCTGTTACCGTTTGATTCGTTTCCTTTCGCAGGTAAAATACATTCGACTAGACGTGGATCGTTCTTTAGATTTAAAAGATTTTCAATCTTTGAATTCTTCATCATTTTCTGTAATTCAATTTCGTTTTCATGTTGAAATTCTTTATCATACGTTAGATCTGTGTTCCGATTTCCAAAATGCTGATTGCTCGATTCGCAATTCTAGGATAGGATGAGATCCTGTTTCAATTCGAAGTTAGGAGTTTGATCTGTCTTATACGTGTCTCTGTGTGTGTGTATATATATATATATATTTGTTGTTTAGGGTATACATTGACTAATCTTCTAGATCTCTGGCTCTTCTCGGTCAAGCGATTTGTGGGAATGTAGATTTGGATCTTGATTTCTTCTCTTATGTTTTGTTTTTGCTGACCCAGGTTTAGTTATAAGCTTTGGTTTCTTGGCGTTTGTTTATTGAGGCTTTAATCAAATACTGATTTAATTGTTCTGCTGGATTTAAGAATGATTGTGTGACAGATTGATCTTCTTGCTCATTAATTCCCTTCTTGGGAATGCACTACTAAATCACAAATACATTAAATTATTTGATATATATTTTTAATTTTTTGCAATTTTAAAAGATTTGAGTAGTTCAGATCCCTTGTAACATTATGCATCAAAGAATTGCAGATAGATTCTTGTTTTGTCATTTATACTAGTCTACGCACAATCACATTGTCTGCCTTCAAATTTCTCATAATGGTCTGATTATTCTAGAGCATGGCCCCTCATATGGATGTATTTAATTTGATTTGCAGGCTCATATGTGTTTTCCATTTTTTGGTATCTTTATTATATATTCAAGTGCTCAGGAGCTTTGGGCTATGTTTGGTATGGTAGGAGGGGAAAGAAAAGAAAAGATAACCTTAGTTATGAGTCTTATGAGAGAAAAGAAATGGAAGGATAGTGTTAACCTCTCATCATTTTTGGTTAAAATCAGAGAAAATAAAGGAAATGATAGTCTTAGCATTAACCATGTTTGATTAAAGAAAGGAAAGAGAATTCTTTTATTGAATTTATCACTATATCTTTTCACATTTAAAAGACAAATTATATAGATAACAAGTGATAAGATGAATATAAAGATTGTGCTAAATATCATTCAAGCCAAAGTGACAATTTGAAAACAAAGAAAGGGTTAAGATAATAAAAACATGTCCTATGACTTGTATGGTATTTTGATTTTGTTCGGTATTAGAAAATCCTTATTAAACTTTGCAGCCTTTCCTCCCATTTCTTCCCATTTTTGAAAGGATAACAAAACCGGTACCATCCCTTATTTGTATCACTACAAATCCCTCTGTTCCTTTTCTTTTCTTTCAATAATTTATAGCAAACACAATATTCCATTTCCCTTCATTAGCCTTTCTTTTCTTTTCCTTCCATTTCCCTCCAATCAAACTGGGCCTTTGTGTGTTCGATGTGCATCTCTATGTATATGAAATTAGAACAAACACTTTGAAACTGGCATTGCTGGTCTACCATTGTTTATTTTCTGATTGAAAACTTATAAATCTAAATGAAAAACTCTGGTCAGTGATGATTTTGTATCTTTGGGTTTAGCAGACACGGCGATGGGGCTTTCTTTTACCAAGCTTTTCAGTCGGCTGTTTGCAAAGAAGGAGATGCGCATCCTGATGGTGGGTCTTGATGCTGCCGGTAAGACTACCATTCTGTACAAGCTCAAGCTGGGAGAGATAGTAACCACAATTCCTACCATAGGTGAGTTTATTGATGTGTTTTTTTTTTGGCCAGTTTAGTGAAGTTCAATCTATATCTTGTTATAGATGGGGGAAATTATATAGCAGTTTCGGTTGGATGATTTTCATGTTGAATTGAGTGGTTTCAGTTTGATATTTTTGTGTTGAATTTGAATGGTGCCCTTTTTTCTGGAAAAAGAGATAATGGTGATTTAGAGTGTGTGTGTGTGTGTGTGTGGGGGGGGGGGGGGGGGGGGCGGGGGTCGGTGTGGGGGGTTGGTGGTGGTTATTCTAGTACTGCAAATTACATTGCATATTTCAGAAATAGCACTAAAATTATGGTAGAATATCTTTTCTGTTTTAGTAAATTCGTATATTCTAGTGCACAAGTTAAAAAGTCTGCTTGAAAAATCATCCTTTTCCACAATGTTGGCTTAGATTTTTTTATTCGATAGTTTGCTATTTCCTCTTCTTTCGCTTTCACTCACCTTTTTTTCCTTTTATTTTATTTTTTTATGTGAAGTGGACTAATTCCTTTTATTTGTTCAGGATTCAACGTGGAGACTGTGGAATATAAGAACATTAGCTTTACTGTTTGGGATGTGGGTGGCCAAGACAAGGTATGGAGGTGTAATGTTCACCAAATTTTGCAACATTGTGGTTGTTAATTTTCATGGCAGAATTTGATGTTAATAAGTTTTTGACATGAAATTATAAAAGATTAAAACATAGATATGATGCACCAGTTTATTATTCAAGCAGTTCATATTATAAGAAAATATTAAGAATTGATTTTATAAGTTTCCAGGTAGCCCTATTTTTAGCTCATGCAACCACAACTTGAACCTCAAATTGCGAAGCACATTCAACTTATTTTTGCCGTTAATCAACATAGTGGGAAGATGTTTTTTAATTCCTTTGAAAATAAGTTAGTATTGTCTCATGGTGCAACTTTGATGGACAAGTTGAATCAAGAAATATATTTTGGTCAAAATTTTCTATGCATGCATGCATCTTTCTGGCGCAATTCAATACTTCCGTATTTAACAGAGTAACCTTTTTAAGTCATTAAGTCTGCATTGGAATTTGTTTAAGGAGTTTAATTCATTATGCTACCTAGTTAGTAGGTGTTGTATTTGAAGGACAGTTTGGGGAAACCATTATTTTGTTGGAACCCGTAGTTATTTGGCTTTGCTTTTACCATCAACCATTGTTTGATGCAAGGTAAAAGCTTGTGATGTCAAGTTTAAGAACACTGACAAAAGTTAAGTTTTTATCCGGTCTTCCTCCCCAGCACCCTCAAATTCGTAGGGGACTAATTCTAAGTAATGATCTTTTTGTTGGGGTTTTTTTTTAATAATTTATTACACGGATGAATGTTTTGAATTGAAGTCCTATTTCTGCAAGGTAGTATCAAGAATGGAGTTGGGTGAGGTCATTTCTTTATTGGAAGCAGTTGACTATTTGAGTGAGGAGTTGTGAGAAACTTGCAGTGAAATATATGGAGCTTTCAAGTTGCAGTAGTGTTCAGTGATAATTCAGATATCCAGATAACATGCTGCAATGTTTATTTGATTTCATTAAAGCTGGGTTTTTGTTATTGACAGCTGTTGTCATACAATTGCGCATTCAATAAGTAGAAATTGGTCCATCTTGGTGTTGTTTACCGAAGGACAAGACCAAATATGTTGATTGTCTGTTGCACAGTTGTTAAGTTGTTCAATTGGTGTTTTTGTTCAATTGATCTTTTCTTCCTTCAGTTCTGAATGTGCATATTCACTGTGAAACTTGTGGCTCACATTTTATCATGTTTGAGCATCTTCTTAGTCATTCGATTTCAATTGAAAGTTTTATAACCATGTTGCACTTAATTGAGTGGATGACCTTGTAAATTTTGCTCCCCCAGATCCGACCCTTGTGGAGGCATTACTTCCAGAACACGCAGGGACTTATCTTTGTGGTTGATAGCAACGACCGTGATCGTGTGGTTGAAGCAAGGGATGAGCTGCACAGGATGTTGAATGAGGTAATAGGGAGCTCCTAATTTATTTGCTTCCGTGCACATGGGGACAATATATAGTAGCTCTGGAATAATATTATTGCACGAGTGACATATTTATATAGCTTTCTATGTGATTTCTTACCCATTTGTTTCTTAGGATCTGCTTTAATAATTAGATATTGTTGGTCTTGGCAGGATGAGTTGAGGGATGCCGTGTTGCTAGTATTTGCAAACAAGCAAGATCTTCCGAATGCAATGAATGCTGCTGAGATAACTGATAAGCTTGGTCTTCACTCTTTGCGCCAACGCCATTGGTAAAATAAATTATAGACCCTCTCTCTGTTTCTCTATAGACCATGTATGCATACATATATATATATATATATATATATATATATACACACATAACACTAGCCAATGCCCAGACAACCACGAATGAATTAGTCTGTCTCTCTCTATGTATAATATTATATCTATCCATCTATCTATATCCAACGCACAACACTACTCAGACAATCACCTACCCACAACGATTGAGTGTATGCCCTGGCATTGCAGGTACATCCAGAGTACATGTGCCACTTCTGGTGAAGGGCTGTATGAGGGACTGGACTGGCTTTCGAATAATATTGCAAACAAGGTGGCCCATGCATCATAATTTACTGTTACACTTCATATGAAATTTAGTAAGATATTTTGGTTGTATATTGAGAACCTTTTCTGATATTCTTTTTTCCCCTTTCCTGGTGGTGATTGTAATTGCAGGCATAGAAATCTCAGATTGGAGTTGGGGGCAACCTATTTCCATAATTAGAGACTACCATATCTTTGGTGTTTTGGATTTTCTACACTGTTACTCTGTTTCGGATTAGTTATGTATGTGTTTTGTTTTAATGTGTTTTTTTATTCGTAACAAGGAAATAAACATTTACATGTGATATCGTTTTCATCTTTTTTTGGTTCTTTCTTTCATGTTTAAGTTATATCATTTCATTCTTGTTAGGCCGAGAACCCTAATCATTCTTGTTATATCATTTGTATTACGATGATATTTGTGTGTTGTAATGGCAATCAACTGTCAGACTATCAAACATTGCTGCATGATGTGTAACTTTTTTTTTTTTTTCCTGATACATAAAAAGAAAGATTACAATTGCAAGTTGGATAATTCAGTATCTGTAGCTTGAAGCAGCCACTGAGGCCAAACTCTCCAAATGCCTTCATTGCTTTTACAAGAAAGAGCCCTACGGGCAATACAGTGGGCAACAGAGTTGCCATTGCGATGAATCCATTGAATTAGGGTGGGTCGCCAAAAGGACTTTGATGTCATCCATGAGAACTGAAGAGAGTTCCTCTGATGGAGAGAGGAGCATAATGTTTTGGCAGTCGCCTTCAAAGATAATCTTATGGAGGGATTTGCAATGAGCGATCTTGATGGATTCATGCAAGACCCATGCTTCTGCCATTTTTGCTGAGAAGACAGAGTGGGAAAATAAAGAAGATGCGAGAATTATGTGTCCCTGAGAATTGAGAATGATAATGCCTCCTCCTGCACTTTTGGAAAAATGGTTGAAAGAGGCATCCATATTAAATATCAGAAACTTCCAAATCCCAAAATTCCTCATAGCTGGCGAGAGCTCGTTGAAAGAGGATCCCATTTCTCATTTTGGAAATGTCAAGAATTTCGACTTCCAAATTTGCTAACACAAAAATGACCCAAAACTTATAAGTTCCTCAGAGTTGTCTGCATTCTTCTAGATTTCCATAAGAGAACCCCATTGTTGGTGCCATGATGAAGAAATGAAAGCATTGGGATCAAGTCTTAAAGGACAGATTTTCCAAAATCAACTGAGCGTTCGGGCAACGACAAAGCATGTGGAGGGTGTCTTCCTCAACTTCACCACATAAATTGCATAAAGAGTTAGAGATGATCCCCCTTGATTGAAGGTTAGAGAGCACTGGGAGGCGATTATGGCAACTTTGCCAAATGAAAAATTGAATTTTCCTCTTGGTTTTGATCTTCCAAATTTCCTTCCATTGAGACTTGAATTCTTGGTGGCCACTACTACCAGCATGCTCTGGCAGAGTGATACGGTTGTAGAGGAGGTGGCGAGCAATAATGTACGCACTTTTGACAGAGAAATGCCCTGTGGAAGTCACCCCCCAAATTAAAGTGTCTTCGCCTCCAAACTGACGGACTGGAATTTGAAGGATCAATTGGGAATCTCTAGGATCGAAGAGTTGATGAATCAAATTAGCATTCCATGAGTTGGAAGCAAGGTTAATTAAATCTGCAACTGAGTTAACTTGAAAATATTGGGGAGTCGACGTGACAAAAAAATTCTTCGGATCTGGAAGCCACGGATCAAGCCAGCAATTTGTCTTATGGCCATTAGCAATTTTTCATTTTTGACCAATTTTAATAACCTCTTTGGAAGAAGAAATACTTTTCCATATCCATGATGCGCCCACAACCTGATTGAAGGAAGTTGGTTCTGAGGAAGTATTTGTTTTTGAAAACTCTAGCAAATAGAGATTGGTCAAAACATTCAAGACGCCATCCCAGTTTGGCAAGTAAAGCAGCGTTAAAAGCTTCTAAATTTCAGAAGGCAATATCGCATTCTTCTTTGGATTGGCATAGCTTGTCCCACGCTATCCATTTTACTTCAGTTGATTTCTCTTTGCCTGACCACCAAAAGTTCATCATGAGGCTTTGAATTTTTTTGCAAGTCAAGAGAAGGAGTTTGTAGCATGACATTGAGTAGTTGGGGAAGGCTGCAAGAACTGTTTTAAGAAGGACTTCTTTTCCTGCTTTGGATAAGAGTTCACCCTTGAGAGATTTTAATTTAGAAGATAGTCTATCAATCAGAAATTTAAAAGTGGTGGTCTTGCATCTGTCAATAATTGAAGGGAGACCGAGGTAACAATCCTGCCAGGTGGTGGAGTGAATACCCAGGACATTGTGGATTTGAGATTGGGATTGTTGGGAAACATTAGGGCTAAAAAATATGCCTGATATTTGAAAATTCACTGATTGACTTGTAAGGGAGGAATAGTGGTCAAGGATGGATTTGATCTTAGAGGCTTCTGAAGTGAGGGCTTCACAAAAAAGGATAGCATCATCCGCAAATAGGAGATGAGTGATTGGTGAGACAAAAGGGCCCATAGGGATCCCATTGATTTCTTTATGCAAGGTTGCATGGGATAGAAGGAGGGAGAGACATTTTGAGCATAGAAAAAAAAATGTATGGGGAAAGAGGGTCTCCTTGTCTTAGGCCACGTGATGGATGGATTAGGTTGCCCCCTTCACCATTAATCACCACTGAGTAAGAGACTGTGATCACATATTGCATAATGTTTTTGGTCCAATGAGAACTAAATCCAAGGGCCTAAAGCATCTTCTCAAGGAAGTCCCATCGAACTCTGTCAAATGCTTTGGCCATATCCAGTTTGATGGCTATGTATCCTGTTTTCTGGTGTCTTCTGGATTTCATGAAGTGCATGGCTTCATGGGCGATCATGATATTATCATGGATTAAACGCCCAGGGACAAAAGCACTCTAGGAGGGGCTGATAATAGTGTTAAGCAGGGGCAATCGATTTACCAGAACTTTGGAAAAGATTTTGTACAGAACATTGCAGAGGGAAATTGGGTTACTAATGTGGGGTTCCGGGTCTTGGGAATTAGGGAAATGTTGGTGTGGTTGAGGCTTTTGAGGACATGGCCTGTGGAAAGGAAATGATTAAAGCCGCAAACCAGGTCGTCCTGAATGAGATTCCAGTTGGTTTGGTAAAAAAATGGCGTAAAGCCATCAGGGCCCGGGGCCTTAAAGGGACCCATGTCTTTAATTGCAAGTCGAAGCTCTTATAAAGATCCTGGTCTATGAAGAGTGTTGTTCATTTCTTTAGTTATGGCCGGAGTAACAAGTTGCCAGAAGGAGCTGCATAAATTATTGTGATTTGAGCTGTAAAGTTGTGAGAAGAATTATTCGATGACCGTACGAATGTCCTCTTTAGAGTCACACCAGCCTCCCATTGGATTCTCAAGGCATGTTATGGCATTTTTCTTTCAGCGAATCGAAGCCTTCCTGTGAAAAAATGAGGTGTTTTTGTCGCCGTGTCGAAGCCAGGAAATTTAAGACTTCTGTTTCCAGAAGATTTCTTCACTGCACCAAGCATGACTTAATTCTCTCTCTAACTTATGAAACATGGAGTGGTCGAGAAGAATGGACTGCTTAATGGTTGCAATTTGATCCTGAAAATGTTTGATGAGGGAGCTGGAGTTATGAATTCTGGACCTGTTCCAATTTTTCAGATTATTTTTGCATAAGGCAAGTCTCGATTTTACCTTATATGGTGTTGAGCCTGCGATTGGGGAGAGCTAAGAGTGTTCAATGATATTTGAGGCAGCAGGTTCCTTTGCCCAACGAGCATCAAAGAAGAATTGACGTTTGGCTCTAAAGTTATCGCCAAAGAGTTTCAAAAGGAGAACTTGGTGGTCTGAACCAATAACTGGAAGATGATGCAGAGAGTTACACGTAAAAGAAGCAAGCCAATCATAAGTGCATAAGCCTCTGTCCAGGTGTTCAAATATAGTGTAGTTCTCTCTGTTGTTGCACCATAGGAATCCATGGTAGCTTAAATCCAGGAAGTGGCAGGATTCAACCATGCATCGAAAGTTTTTCATCATCTAACTTTGGCGAGAGAGACCACCTCGTTTTTCATGGGAGCGAAGGAGATCATTAAAATCGCCCATGATGAGCCATCTAGAGTTGATACGATGTTGCAGGTTGTTAAGGTAAAACCATTGTTGGGCACGAATGTTGTATGAGCATGAAGCATAAATACATGTAAAGTGTTTTTCCATTGGGCCAACACCTTTAATAGAACAACTGATTTGAAAATCAGAGTGATCAACCACATCAATTCCAAGATCATCTCGATAGAAAATTGTAATTCCGCCTCGCAAACCAGTAGGAGGAACAAAAAACGACTCAAAAGGTCCCAAAAGTCTGCGGAGATTATCAAGGTAACCTCCATTATTTTTAGTTTCAAGCAAGCAGATCATGAAGGGGGAATGAAGATCAACAAGTCTTTTCAACTGGAAAACTGTGTGGGGGTTCCCCGCACCCTATAGCTCCACACCAAAAGCATCATTGAGGGGGTGGGAGCCAATTTGGACTGGCTTCCTTCACCCTTGGACTATGTTGTGGAGCTTCGAGGTGAGATGTATCATGTGACTCATCTTCTGGTTCAGAAGTTAAATAACAAAAGCGAGGTTGCTTTGTTGGTTGAGCCATCTGCCAGAGAGAGTCTAAATGGGTTCGTTTAAGAGAACATATGGGTCGAAGAGGGGGGTTGAAGGTTTGGTTCGGACGAGCTTGTTTTTTCCATGACCTTCGAATAGAATGTTATGATGGTGGTGGTAAGGTGGTGATGTGTTGGGGTTGGTCAGTGTGTTTTGGTGTAGGAGGTTTGGTTGGGTTGGATTCTGATGTGGGATTGAGAGTGGGATGACTCAGGTTAGTGGAGTGATTAGTTGATTTATCCATGGGAATATGGATTGGGCTAGGTGAGGTGGTAAGGTGGGGTGATTGGGTGGTGGGATTGTGGTGTGGTTGGGTTGAGAAATTGAAATGGGCCTCTCTCGTAACAAGGGAGGTGACAATATTTGAGTTTGGAAAAAGGGGGCCCGTAAATGGTTGTTCAAAGAGGATGGTCTATGGTCAGGTTCTGGTTGGATTCCACTGAGAGAGTTGAGACCTGTCTGGTTCAGAACATGGGAAAGGAAAATATCTTCTATTTGGGAGGCAATCATGTCACTTTGAGGAACGAGCTCATTTGCTTGTGGTGCATGCTTTTGACTTGACTTGGAACTTGTGCCAGACAACGTGTCCTCTTGTGAATGAATAGATTTACCTTTAGGGGAAGGAAGGACACAGAGAGTAGAATTACCTGATGTCGTGTCTTTGGGTGATAAGTGGCAATTGGTAGACTTACTTTCTGACATGAGAGAAGATGTCACATCAACACGGCGGGTGGAGTTCGTCTTTGCCGGAGTGTATACCGACGACAAGTTCTGATTGTTCTC